CCAATCTCGTTGACGAGCGTCCTTTACCGGACGTGGTGCAGACTGAGATGGGACAAGCTCCGCCCATGGCAGTGCAGCATTGGCCAGAAGCTGACCTGGGAAAGAAGTGTGCCGGGCACACATGTCCTGCAGGTTGCCCTCATGAGATTGTTGAAATGCGAGGTTGGCCGAGCTACTGGTAAACATGTGGTGTCGTTACTGGTGGATCTCCAATGTTTCTACAACAGTGTCGAGTTGCAGCAGCTGCTGACAGCATGGGAGCCACTTGACTTCCCGCCCGCGATGATGAACATGATCTTTGAAGTCTACAGCGGGCCACGTTTGCTCCAGGCCGAACAGGTCACCTCTCGACCAGTCACCTGCAGCAAAGGGATCTTGGCAGGTTGCCCGGCCGCTCCATTAGTTGCCAAATTGATCCTTGCACCGGTCCTCGGCCCTTTCAAGGACAAGTTCCCCAGAGCCTCCATAGATGTGTGGGTCGATGACATCTCCATAGACTTTGTTGGGGACAGTGTGCAAGCAGTCTGCAAACAAGCGCTGCAAGGCTTTGATGAGCTGCAACAAGGGCTACAGGAGGCAGGGCTACAGATGTCCCTCGCAAAGACTGGCTACCTGGCTTCGTCGAATGAGTGCAGAAGGGAGCTCACCATTCAGAGAAGGGAAGATCAGCCCTCTGTCCATGAGCTCTTGAAGGACCTTGGACTGGACTCTAGCGGGGGCAGGAGGAGGAGAATCGGCACTCAACAAAAGCGGCTCTTGAAGGCAGGGAGGAGGAATGCTAAGCTTCATCACCTCAAGATCAAGGCCAGACCCATCCGGATCAGGGTGTGGAAGACTTCAGTGCATTCAGCGGCCTGTTATGGACTGGAGGCACAGGGAATTGCGCCACAGAGACTGCAGACACTCCGGACACAGCTGGCTCGTCATGGGGGACTGCAGAAAGGAGGGAGCGTAGATGTGGTCTACGATCAAAATGCCACCCTTCAAGATCCTCTGATGACGGTGGTTGCAAGGCAGTTGAAGGCCATGCATCTGCTAGCCCTCAAGTGGCCACCCGAGCAATTAGCTGAGCTTCACACGGCCTGGAGAGTGAGTTGGAAAAGATTGAGGGCGGCAGCATACCCCTGGATGGTGGTCACTGGACCAATGGCAGCCTTGCAGGTCTATTTGATGGACATGGGATGGGATGCCAGCAGCCTGAATGATTGGGTCAGGCCACAGGCAGGACTCATGCCAACGGCGCAACTCAACCTGGAGTTTCCCTGGCCTTACCTCCAACGGCAACTCAAGATTGAGATGGACCATCAGCGGGCCAGACGCACCCAAGAATTAGAACATGCCTTCCCCTTGATGAGAAGACCTGATTGGAGCATCTATCACAAGGTCATGAAGCAGGCAAGTGCTGGGCAGAAGGCAGCCATCAATGCTTGGACACAAGGATCGTTGCGAGCCCACTATGGAGGTGAACGTATGATGTGCCCTCTCTGCAAAGTACCTGTGAGCATGAAGCACCTGGTATGGCAATGCAGTTATCATCGAGAAGCCCTACCTGCAGAGTGGACTCAGATGATAGCTGCCAATGAGAACACTATGCTGTGGGCTAGGGGATTGATTGAGATGCCGGCCTATGACACAGTCCAAGGCATGGATTCGTGTGAAGTTGAAGGCATCTTCAACAGAGGGTGGCCTGTTCGCATTGGGCCCCATCAGCGGCTGGCAATTGGTGTGCAAGCCACCAGCAAGGATGGGAGGCTGAAGAAGTATGTGGTGGCGGTGGTAGCCACACAATGGCAAGCAGGGAGATGGCAGAACATTGGACATTGCACAGCAGTGGCGCCTGGGCAGGCCACCGAAGCCAGGGCCTGGTTCTTTGGGCGCTGGCTGATCCTGCAAATGGTGCTTGGGCGCCATCAGATCAACATCCCACATCGAGGTGGGTGGACAGCCATTCGAAAAGGAGCACAGGGCACAGTGGCCCCGGACCTGTGGCATCATCTGCCGGAGGAGGAGTGGTCCAGACTTCAACTGGTGCAGGTGCCTTGGAAAATGCTGAAAGCCCAAGAAGGGGATGCCCGGGGCAAGTGGCAGTTCCTTATGGCCAAGCAAACCGCTGCCTCCAGAGCCAATGGGATGCGGCCCACAGCGTTGGAGAATGAATTGAAGGTTGAAGATCAGCTCCACTATGACGTCTATCAAGTTGCAGGCAGCCGCATCAGCACCATTCTGCAGGACAAGAACCACTACATGAATGGACAGCTGGAACCAGTGCAGACCAGCAGTAAGCAGGTGAAAAAAGATAGCCCTAAGGGAGGCAGGATTGAGGTGCTCCGGCAGTTGACGCTGCGCCCACATCAGGAGGGAGCACACAAATGGGAGAAGCACAACAATGGAGTGAAATGCAACCTTTGCAACAGAAAGATCAAAGGATGTGCAACTTTTGCCGAGATTGCACAGAAGCAAGATGCAGCCTGCAGCGGCTTTGCAGAAAAGACCATGGAGCAGCAAATGAAAGATTTGGTGGAAGACTCCAGCTTGTTGGCAGAAGGCCAGGAGGGACACAGATGGTACCTCCAGGGGAGTCATTTTGGGTGCCGGCAGTGCTGGGAGAAGATCCCCAGGAGGAGTGGTAAGCTGCAGCTGAAGCAGCTTGTGGACAAGGCTTGCAGCCATGGGAAGGTAGATGAAGCGGCGCTCAATCTGCGCATGCGGATCCACCCCAGCCACAACTTGCTGCGACGTGGCGTGTGGGTTGAGTGTCAGAACTGCCGCAAGTTTGGTAAGATTGTGGAGGGCAGAGTTGCCCAATGGGTGCATCAGCACTGCTTGAAAGCCAAGGGTCAAACGACCCTGCGGTTTGGTCCGGGCAGCTCGGACAGTTGAGGGCCGAGACAGGCCAGTGTTGAGGTGAGGAGCACTCACCGACAGTTCAAGGCGAATGAGCCTTGCTGTCCACTTTTGGCCGCCGGCCTGGAACTTCGCAGATTGCAGTCTGAAAAGAGCCGAGTAAAAAAAAAAAAGCACAGAGTGCGTCGTAAGTGAGCGTAGAGAGAGAGAGAGAGATAAGAGAGATAGAGATGGAGAGAGAGAGAGAGAGACAGACAGACGGACGGACAGACAGACAGACAGCCAGACAGCCAGCCAGCCAGCCAGACACACAGACAGACAGACAGGAAGAAATAACTAAAGAAATAATTAAAGAAGGAAAGAAAAGAGAAGAAAAGAAAGAACGGCAGAAAGAAAGAAAGACAAAGAAAGAATGGAAGAAAGGAAAGGAAAGGAAGGGAAAGGAAAGGACAGGCAAGGACAGGACAGGAAAGGAAGAAAGAGCGAAAGACACAAAAAGAGATAGAAAGAGAGAGATGGACATTGAGAGAAGGGGCGAGAAATAGAGAGAGACAGAGAGAGAGAGAGAGAGGGAGAGAGACACTCACAGAAACAGAGAACGGGACAGAAAGAGACAGACAGAGACAGAAAGAGAGAGAGAGGGAGAGAGAGATAAATTTGAAGAGAATGGGAGAGAAGGGGGGGGTAGATACTGTAGATAGATATAGATAGATATAGATATAGATATAGCGATAGATAGAGGTAGATGGCGATAGATGGGGGTAGATAGGGATAAATAGGGATAGATAGCGATAGATAGATAGGCAGATAGGTAGGTAGGTAGATAGGTAGATAGATAGAGAAAGAGAGAGAGAGAGAGCACAATGACAAGTTGAGCGTGGCAAGCTGCTCGCCAGCGGCTAGTGGCTGCCGGCTAGTGTTTGCGAGGCTGGACAACGCAGCAGCAGATGATGAGCCTAGGGCCAAGTGCAGGAGGGACAACATTGAAACAATAGACACGTTGCATAGCTGAGGAGGGATAAGAAGAAGCAGAAGTTGTGTGTTTGTGCTCTCTTTTTTTGGAGGCTGGCCAGCTTTTAAGAATCTTGGAGAAATGGTCATACCAAGGTACGCAAATAGCCTAACCAAGACCACCTTCCCTCGCCTGGCAACACGTGGTGCCGGCAGAGTTCTTGGGGCTTGACTAGCCACCTCCTGGCTCCAACTCTTTGCATTTTTTGCAGTCTATGTTTTGTATTTGCAACATTTCCTGAACATTTGCTTCTATGGCACATGCTTTGCCCACACTACACTTGCCTTTCAAGCCATTGACTAAACTACTCATGTTACATGTTACATGTGTATTGTTGTTTGCTTGCTGCCAGACGGAGTTGCCCACCTAGTGGCTTCTGGCATGTTTTGCGTAGACCCTTCAGAAAGATTGGATAGTGGGCGCTGGGTGGGCTTGCGATGGAACGGTGGTGGACCAAATGGTTTTACGGTGCAGCGGATGCATTTGACTGGTCAGTGGTCAAGTTCTTCGGAACGTCCTTCCCCCAGACAGCGCGGTAGGTCTTTCTGTGTAAAACGAAGGGCCCTCGACTATAGGCTTGGGATGGTTCTGTGTTGGTGCAGGTCTTTCCGACGGTGCACGAGATCGCCGTCCGGTGCTCATAGTGAACTGTGACAAGAGCTGCATGTTCAGTTCAGGCCCTTGGGACATCTCGGGACAAGATTAAGGTTGGGGCCCTTTGGTCTGAACATCAGGTTCCACATATTGCAGACTTGCCCTACCAGCTTTGCACCCTTCACATTCCCATGGCCCATAATGATGTAGCAGGTGCTGCAAGAGCTCATTGCTCACTCAGCGCACTCCTGAAATTATGCCGCAGCCGTTTCACTTCAGGCGTAGAACATAGGGTGCCCGAACACTGCATGGATGCCTTTTTGCAGGCAGTACAACCTCCCCCAGAAGATCACACTGGCCGCGAGTCCCCGAATCCGACTACTCCTTGATCTAAGCTGGCCATTGTTGAAGTTGGACAGCGGGCAAGCTCAAGCGAGGCTTTGTTTTCAGTGTTGGTGGATCTAAAGTCTAAAGCCTATTTGTACAATTAGTAACCTAGCCTCCATTTATATAAGTGATTCGATGAGGTTGAAATGTTGCGTTCTATAGTGCATGACCGCCCTTGCAGTTCGCGCGGGCTTCTCTCATGTATGACCTTCTGGATCGCTCGTGCCCCATTGTGCCATGTCGGATTTGGATGACGACAGCCCTCTGAGCTCGCTCGACTCCGACACGCCAAAGCAAAGCCTTCCGGAGGCGGCAGAAGAGGCCGAAACTGGAGCCCGTGCACTGGCACCGCATGCGGCGCCGCTTGCGTTTGAGGATTCGGAGGACTTGGCAACAGATTTGGATGATGCAGCTGGCGAAGTGCCAATTCTCAGCCCATCCGCGACGAACTATGCGCCTTGCCCAGGCATGTTGATTCAGCTTGCAGCAGTGCCCGCCACAACCACGAAGGATAGCTTGATATCAAGGAAGCACAATGGGTGGAATGTATGAAGTTGGAAAACATGAAAAAACAACCCGAAGACTGAAGGCTCTAGCACTTTGCTTTTGTGCCGAGGTCCGGGTAAAGCTTGAGCGTTTGGGAGAGGTAGACAGCTTCAGGGGCATCAGCAGCTTAGCGCAATGACTCTGTTTGTGGTACCATTAGGAGGATCAGCTGAGCTTGGATGTTTTGGTTTTAATCTGCGTTGGTCGTGCAGTCCTACCGTTCGGGAGGGGTCAACAAAATCATTGCAAAGGAAACCTTGACCTTTACGGTGTTTTCTGCATGTCCTGTTTCATGCAATGGCAGTTGGACATTTGTTCCGACATGTTCGGACAGATGTTAAGACGTGTGTGATGAATCGCATGGTCGTGCTTTAAGTAAAAGCGCATGCCACGACCCAATGAGGTCGGTCATGTCTCATATACCCAACTCAATGTCTCGCACATATCTTTGACTTTGGCTTCGGCTCTGCCGGCTCTGCCCAATGACTGAGGCATGTCTGAGACTCCACCGACCACGGCAGAGGAAGCGGGTGCCCAGGCCAAGGTGGAGCTTGTGCTGAGGCGGCTTTTGGCCTTCGCGCGATCACCAGGTGAGGGTTCAATTTTAGGGCTGTGTGGTTTGCAGCTTTCGCAAGTGACAGGCTGGTGTTGGTAAGAATTTCTCAGTTCTTAGTGTTTGTCAGCCCTTACATGTTTTTTTGGTCATGAAATCTTATGATGTTGCTACTAGTGTCATGTTGCTCCACACGCTTCACTTTCATTGTCGAGGAGAGCTTGCCACCTTTTTGGCCACGGAGTTGCACATTACCAAACTGAAGGCGGGGGAAGCTATCTGTGTGGTTGGCGAGCCCGCTGACTCCATGAAGCTTGGCGTGGATATATGCGAATGGAAGTGCAGCGACACGTACAGTGCAACTTGTACATATATATATATATATACCATATGTACTTTGGCTCAAGGCTCAAGCGACTAGAAAAGGTGCGGTTTCCGTTCCGACGCTACGCCGCTTATGGACCGTCAGTGATAGCTTCAAACTTCGCTGATTAGGATCCACTCGCAGGTTATCAGCCGTACGCGCTCTTTATAGCCGTACGAGCTACACGAGACCAAGAACAAGACTAGTCATTACAGAAACCTGCAATGTCAAGTTCAGGAGGAAATGGAAGCGAACCCTATTCATTCGCTGCTCCTGGTGGTCCCAACACCATTTCGTCACCAGATTCTACAATGGGTACTGATTCATCAGCAAATGCTGACGTTATCACTATGCCTACTGGATCACAAATCTCGGAAAGATCCGTGCCACCGGCTCGGAATCTGACCGATCTTGCGCCCGTAGGACCAAGAAGATCGATGAGAGCTACAACAAGATCTACATCGCCTATAACGTCTACCGCGAGATCCCCAAGAAGGAGTATAGAGAAGAGACGTGACGATGATAGAGGAACAAAAGAGCAAAGAAGAGAGATTCAGCTGGGTGAAGAATTGAGATCGGCGAGAAACGCATACAATTTTCTTCATGAAGAATATGAATGCATCCAAGCTGGGTACTCACGACTACACCACGAGGCTGAAGTGGAGTTCAGGCAAATGTCTGACTACAAGAGGAAGATGCAGGAACATCTACAAGAGATGACACAGGAAGATGAAGGAGCAACAATAAGAATTGAAGAGCTCGAACACAAACTACGCTTGGCGGAATCGACAGCTGAACATATCTACATGAGATATCAAGAGCTTGCACAAGAAACTCATCAAGAACATTCAGAGCTTGAATCTGTGAAAGCAACGAAGGACAGAATGTCCCAAGAGCTTCAAGCAGCAATTGGACACATCCAAGAACAGAATGAATCTTCATTGGCGATCAATAGAAGATCAAAAGCCATTCAGGATGAGAACACAGCCTTCGTCGGAATAGCTGACCAGATACAAGCTAGAATGATTGCGCTACAGGATGAGAATGTCAATATGCACGAGGTGATCCAACACCAGAGAGAAGAACAATGGAACAGTGAGGTCAGGGAAAGACGTCTTCAACACAGTGTTCACTCATCTCAAGATCAGAGCAATCAGGAAGCTATGGTTATTGATCATCTACGAGGTCAACTGGCTATGGCACGTGGAGCTGAACTCAACGCGAGAGCGGAGATAGGAGAGATGGAAGTGGGCATTAGAATGGAGATGTTTGTATGCCAGACTGAAGTCTCTGCTAGAGAAATGGCAGAAAAGAAGGCGAGCCACCATGAATACGAAGCAAACATCGCAAAGGAGGTTATCGCAAAAGGAGAAATATTCAACAACGAAGTCATAGAAAGTTCCATCCGTGAACGACAACAATTGAAAGACGTCAACCTCGCTCTATCCGAAGCCAACGCACAGCTGAAAAGAGAGAATATGATGAGAGCTCCTATGTTCGGCGATGATGGTGCTGAAATTCAACAGAAGATCGGAGAACTGGAGAATGCACTATTGGAAAGCCAGAAGGAGACAAAGAATGTCATTATGGAAATGCAAAATTAAAAGCAGAAGCACGAATGGCACCCATAGTCTCTCGGTACAGCAAGCGTCCTAGTTCCAGAGACCGCGGGTTACCAACCCACGCGTCCGAGGAAGATGAGATTCGGAACGCAAAAGAGGAGGCGAAATACTACAAGGACGGGTACAATGAAATGACAGAGAGCCGAGATGAGATGTATGAATGGTATGCCGAAACCCACAATGAGTACGCCGAGGAAAGGGAGAAATCAATTGAGCTATCCGAGGCGAACAAATCATTGAGGGATAAGATTTCAGAAACAGAGGCATCCTCTTCATCTCATCTTGCACCGGCAACCTCTACAATCATGAAAGTATCGAGGAAGGAAGAATCAAAGATAAACGTTCCGTCATGGCCCAGGATCAATGATCTTGGACTATGGAAGGCAAATCTCATTCAATCGATCATCATTGCGGCCAATGATTCAGATCAAGAGCCCTGGATCGACTGGATCAAAGAAGCCATGGACGATCCTGATCCGGACAAGTTTGTCGACTCAGGAGACCAAAGATTCCATTCAATCGATGCCAAACTCGGCCTAGCTCTTACCAAGGTCGTCATGGATGCAAAAGATGATGGTTCAGGTGTAGCTATGAAGTTGAGGACGAGGATCAATGCAAAAGGGAGAACATCAAGCCTCATAAAGGGAAGAGAGGTCCTAGCCCTGATCCTTATGAATTTCAAGACAACATCAAATGTGGAAGTCTTATATACTTCAATGCACCTCTACCAACTAGAATATCAAGGAGACAAGAACTTATCGTTGTTCTTCCACACTTGGGATGAGATTCTGGCAGGAATGAAGCCCGTTGACGTCCCGAGCGACGAAACTCTTCGGGATCTCCTATGGAGAAAGATCAGGAACTCAAACCTCATGGCATACGACATTAGCGCCTACAACAGCATGAATGACGATGATGCAAAGAAGACATACAAACATCTACGTGATATGATCAGAAGGCACATCGAACGGCAAACTGAAGACAGGATGATCCTGGAAAAGGAGAAGGCAGTGAAGAATGTGGCTAATATCTTTCAGAATCTCAAACCAGGCGGACCTGCTCCAAAACTGAAAGCTGCACCAGCTGATCCGAAGAAGAAACCAAAAGGGCAACAAGAACAGGTTGTCTCAGAAGACGCTGCTGCAGTGAAGCCGAAACCCAATCCCAAGAAGCATCCTGAAGACAAGAACAAAAAGGGAAAGGGGAAAGGTAAAGGTGATGGAAAGGATCGCAGCCGAAGTCCGAGTGCAGATAAGAAGAAGATACCATGCAAATTCTTCGTGAAAGGTAACTGCACTATGGGGAAAGATTGCCCATTCAGTCACAAGAAACCCAGATCACCATCCAGAGGACCTTCTGTCGGAAAGAATGACAAGCCAGTATGTTGGATGTGGATTCGAGGAACTTGTGACAAAGGGAAGGATTGCAAATTCTACCATGACCCAAAAGCCTCTCCTAAGAAAGGGATATCTGCACCAGCTGACTCAGGAGACGATAGGCCAAAGCCCAAGGCAAAGCCCAAACCGAAGCCTAAGGCGAAGCCTGGAGCCCCAGCCATTGACGGTGAACTCTTCATGGACGAATCCGAGGATGAAGGGATCGCTGCATCCGCCAAGGCAAGAGAAGGAGGTGCAAAAGTGTCCTTTGATGAAGAGACTTGTGAAATCATGTTGAACGAAGCGATCTACTCAATCAGGGACAAATGGAAGGTAGTAGAAAAGAAACCTCTACGTCCGGACATCAAACGATACGATGAGAAAGAGCTCACCTGCTACACGAGGAAAGAACAAATCAGATTTGAAGAAAAGGTCGCAGAGGCAAGAGGCATATTGATGGTCCCCTACACTGAGATCAAGAGGGTCCGAATACCAGTTGGACCAAAGGGTGACCTAGCGGTCACTATGTCTTTTGACGAAGATGACGGCCTAGTTTTCCATCATAAAGTCATTCCTCATGTATGCGAGGGGAAGAAGGATCATGCAGACACAAAGACATTGTCTATTCCAGCCAAAGGGTCAAGAACAAAGTTCATCATGGACACAGGATGTGGGTATGATTTGATATCGAAAGGCAGAGCCAAGAAATTAGGTCTGGAAGTGAGAGAAAGCGACCAATCAATGTCATTCTATACCGCAAATGGAGTGACACCCACAAAGGGAGTCGCCGATATTCATTTCGACGAATTTGACTCTACCTACTCCCCATTCGTCCTAGATGAGTCTCCTTCAGTACTGTCTGTTGGAAAGAAATGCATGGAGGAAGGATACACATTCATATGGCCAGCCTGCGGCAACCCGTATATGGTTTCCCCGGACTACAAGAAGATCATGTTAGAAGTAGAGGGAAACATCCCATATATTGTCAAGGGCAGTGACTTCTGTACTCCCACCGACGATACAAGGGCGGAGATGATCGCAAGGTTCACCCTAGGAGAAGATGAAGCCGATTACCAATCGACTTTCATCAAGTGTGATGTGGATCCTCAAGGAATCATGTGTGATAATGACGACCTTCCTGTGATTGAGCCTCCAAAAGTCAAAAGGCGAAAGAGGAATAAGAAGTTCAAGGCATCCCCTGGAGAAGAAGATGAGGTAGGATCAGATGTCGCCGGAGACAGTGAACCAGAAGCTGACGATGATGATGCAGATGACATCGAGGTGGATGTTGTTGACGGTGCAAGTAGAATGGTGAGAAGAGGAACTCTGAAAGCAGATGCAAGGAAAATCGAGCATCTACTCACACATCGTTACAAGAATCCCTACTGTGAGTCATGCATCAGAGCAAAGATGAAACACTTCAAGACGCATCGAGGAGCGTTCAAGAGAAAGCTCAAAGCTTTTGGAGATCTGGTTACCTTTGATTTCGTCGATACGAGGAACATCCTTGATCAAGGGATCAGTACTGATCGAGAGATCTTCGTCATTCGTGATAGGTACACAGGCGTCATATGGGCCTATCCGTCGAAAGAGAGGTTTACCAAGGATGTGGTCAATGCAATAAACCACTTCAAAGGATTGAAGAAGATCAAGATTGCTTATGCCGACAAAGCCCCAGAGTTTGAGACGGCTATGAAGCAGCTGAAGATCCCATTCGATCACTCTCTACCGAATCATCCTCAGAACAATTCCCTGGCGGAGAGGAACAATCAGTTCATTATGATGACAACCGCAACTTGTCTCTTGGAAGCGGGGTTACCACCATGTTTCTGGAGCTATGCAGTAGAGTGCGTCAGCCATCTTTTGAACATTGAGGAAGGAGAGGATGGAGTGAGCCCTTGGTACAAGCTACATGGAAAAGAGTTCCATGGAGAGAAGGTTCCCTTT